ATGTGAAAATTACATTAGGCGCATTTCGCACTTTTTTATGAAGAGTGAATTAGATTGATCCGTCCGATTTTAACGCTCGGGTAAAGTAGGTTATAGTCGACTAATTGAAATGTTTTTAGATTTGGTTTAAAATATCTCAGGAACTAAAAATCGGGTCTGCAAACTGTGTGCGAGGAAATTATTTAGCATTTCATCCTCTCTGTAATAAGCTATTATTCAAAATCGTATCTTAACGCGACGCCGTGTTAGGGAGGCGAAAAGGAAAAATAGTGCCGAAAACCAAACAAGGTTAGTTGAATATGTGGATTAAAATATTTCAGATACTAAAAATCAGATCTGTGTACTGTAAGAGGGGGAAATATTTAGCAATTTGTCTTCTTTGTAATGAGCTATTATTAAAAAATTTATCTTAACCTAACACCGTGTAAGAGAGTGAGATTGAGACAAAGATAGTGTCCATAACCAAATGCTTTACGATATATATATTACAATATATTACAAATGCTAATATTATTACAACATTGAAATTTTATTTTGACAAAATTATTAACATAATATAAAACATAAGAAGGGAAATAATATAAATAATAATAATAGCAGAAATTCTTAGGCATAATAGAAAATATATAATGATATAACATTACATGACCTTCCAACTGGATATTTCCACATAAATATAATACAGTCGTTGGATACAACATAACCTAGTAAATATCACTAATTTAAATAAGAAATTAGACACCATTAAGATCAATTTTAGATTGACCTTGCTTTGATGTCTATATTTTATGCAGTGGAACTTTGTTATTAACTTTATAAATTTCTTATTGAACGAAATTAAACCTAACTACAATACACCTAGAATACATGTATTAGTAAAGTTACATAAAAGTGGTGCTCCACTTAGTCCTATCATCAGTAATATCAATGGGAAACTGAAAAAGTTGTCTAAATATCTCAATTCCACACTCAATAACCCAATACTAGATAGTAACAATGATGTAAAAAACTCAATGTAGGTGTATCTAAAGCTTGAAAGAATAAATAAAATAGACCATAGATAAATGTTGTTTGGTCTGTTTTGATGTAGAAAATTTATTTTCCAACATCAACTGGAAAGATTCAATAAAAATAATTGAAAAATACTGGGATACAATAGAACCGCATATCAAAATTAAAAGGTTCTATGTAAGATATTGATTAAAATATCTCAGAAGTTAAAAATCGAACCTGCATACCGTAAGCGAGGGGGAAATGTTCAGCATTTGACTCGCTTTTTAATTGCTCATTAAAAAGCGAGTCAAATGCTGAAAATTTTCCTCGTTTACAGTATGCAGGTTCGATTTTTAACTTCTGAGATATTTTAATCAATATCTTACATAGAACCTTTTAATTTTGATATGCGGTTCTATTGTATCCCAGTATTTTTCAATTATTTTTATTGAATAATTGATATTGATAATTAGTTACACTAAGTTATTTAAGAAAAAAATCTGGTGCGCGCAACACACAACTTTCACTTACGTATTTTGCATTGAAGTTATTTTCTGGCAATGTTGGGCTATTATAAAATTTTTGAAGTACATTTTAAACGGAATTGACGCTTAAAGTTTACACAAAACAGAACATCAAGACCATTAAACTTATAAAAAGTCTATTTATTATATCGACGGGAGGTAACACAAATCTAGTTACTTCATCTACTTTTATAAATCACACAACTACACTCTCTGATCTTTTAAGTTGACAGAATGACTAGTTCCAATTTCAAAACTTTAGAGTAATGTCATTTTAGTAATATTTCTAGTTGTATCTATATAGACTGTGAGTAATTTAATACCAGAGAAGCTGATTGCATTGTTGAAATATAGAAGTGTGAATAAAGGTATAAATTTTGCCTCTAGAAACATCAATAAAATTAATAATAAAGAATCTGGAAATTGGAGTATGTCATTATGTCAACCGAAAGGCTCATATATACGTAGAGAGATTTGAAAGTATATCTCAATATTTAATCTATAAATGATTATCGATTGTAGGACTATTTGTTATGAAACTGTTATTTTTCATTGTAATGTTTGTTAAATTGAAATTATGAAATTTTTATTGTCTGCCATCGATAGATCAAAAGTTGTCACACAATTGTAAATGGATAATGTTGGGATTTCACAAAGGGAAAATTAATCAAATTATTCACTAATATAATTTCCTAAAAGATTACTTGATAATTGTTTGTAATAAACGGCCAATAGATACCTAATTATTTAAATATAAAATCACACCTTTAAGTTTATAAACTTATATAAATGTAATATTTTTATATTTCACTTCTTCTTTTACACGATTACAATGAAATATTATTTTAAATAATGGCATTGGCTTGATTTGGTTGATTTTGAATACATTTTTATTCGAACTTTGAAACAAATTTAAAAGTTTACATTTAGTAAGAATATTTCATTTAATTTCCTTGGAAATATGTAATTGTTAGTTTTCTGAAATTATTATTTATATTTTTTTCATCATTCTCCGTTAGCTTCTACAGCTTTATTTATTTGATATTATTTTTCTAAAATTATCCAATTCCCAACGATATATTATACATATACCTTCTGACTTTTTTTCCAGAGATTCATTTTCAACCTGGATAAGAATTTTTCTTTTTTCTCCAGTTTCCAATTATCCTATACTTTCAAACTTCATATTTAGCCATTTTTTATAATTACTGTCAATAAAAGAGTGTCCATTTTTTTAAATAAACCATATTAAAGGTACTTTAGAGGAAAACGTATATGAACATTGGGTATTTAAGACCTATAAAGTGACATCAATGGGTATAAGACCTAAATAATATTAAAGACCACGTAATTATACAATGATACACCGAGTTTAATCAAAAACGTTACAGCCGTTTTTGAGAAAATTGTAAAAATGTGTTTCATCGTTGATAAAAGTGATAAACAAACCTTAAATAAATAATATCAGTTGCGTACGACTTTTCGTTTTTGAGCTAGGCTGTTCACATGCACACAGACACAGACTTGGTTAGTTGGACTCAGAGAACCTCAAAACGTGGATTTTCTTTGAAAACTCAAATTAGAAAATGTTCAAGATCACAATACTTTATCTTACAATAAATTACGTATATTGGTAAGTGAAAGTAAAAATACACAAAAATTAGGCAGTGTATTGAAGAGAAATTATATCAGGAATCCAGTCCAACTTATTATTATTGGAATTTAAATAAATAAATGGTAAACCAATAAAAAAAAATATTACTTGGAAAATTTATTTCAATTTTTTTTAAATTCAACTGTTTAAATAAGTGTAAAATCGGTGTAAAGAGACGTTGTATGTTGGTCTACTGTTGGAAGGTGGAGGTCAGTAAGTAAAGTTTTGTTAGTCACGTACCAAGGTGCTTTTGTTATTCGTCGCAATATTTTTTATTGAAAGGTTTGAAGTTTTTGTAGATGGATTTAATAAAAGTATTTTTGTTTTAATAAAAATAGAAAAGGAAAAGTTGCAACTGCCTAGATATTTCGATCATGACTGCTTGACATAATTGCATATTTCCATAATTACATGTTTTCAAAAATTGTTGTCTACTATTTTTCATTCATTCATAGTATACACTTTTATATATACTTAGTTTAAAAGACTTAACATCTCAGCACAAAATCGTTTGATTTCGATTATTTTTTTTTCGTTTTGTAAAGAATTCAGGAAGCTTTCAAATAAAAACAGTTCCTGAAAATGGTATTATTTTTAAGTTATTCGCAAATTTTGAATTCATCGTAACGTCTCGATTCGTTGACTTGATACCATCACATGGTTTGAAACCTCCTTTTTTAAGATTCACTTATATTTAAGTCTTAAGATTAGTATAAAATTGTGAATAAAAATTATAATTCATACATTCTACGTGATATTCCCTCTCTAATGATACCTCATTCATCAAAATCCATCACTACCGAGAGTCGGAAAAAGGATATTTTTTAAAAATTGATTTATTGAAATTTACAACTGTACTAAATAAATACAACTAGTAAATATGACATAATCAAGAGTAACGACATGGTCAGACTTGTGGAGTCAATACGCAACACTCCATAAATAGTTCTAAGTTAGAAGATCACAAGCCCATCTTCTTTTCATCGGAGGATTATCAGGGAATGAAAAAGATTGAGGATTGAGTTTGTCATGAAATAACATATGTCTTACATGGGCTAAATCTGTAACTTTAAGGTCTTTACGTATAGTTTTATTTGTAGCAATGTATAGGGAGGGCATTAAGGATTTTGGATTGTAAGGATTGGATAGGAATGCGATGGTTTGGTCGTGTCCCAAAGCTCAACTCTGTATGTTCATATACGTCTTATTATAGTCATGCAAATAAGTCTCTTATAGTTAATTGATAGTTTAGAGCGTTTGTATAGCAAGTGTTGGAGCAGTCGGAAACGTCGAGCAGTTTCTTATCGTTTCAGTCATGTATGCAGATTCCAAGTAAGAAAGACATTCGCCTAATTGGATTCCTAGGTAACGGATATTTTCACCAGTGACAAGTAGAATATCATTGAAGGATATTATAGAACAAGAAGTCATAGGTTTACTACGGAGGCTAAAAGGATATATATTCAGAAATAATACATAACATGAGGATTATAGGCAGATAGAGGGCTCTTTATATACACAATTATTATATAAATACAAATATTATATTAATGAAATTACACAATATAAATCATAGAACAATCACAATGTTCAAAAATATTGAAATTGAACAATGTTAATGAAATAAGTAGCTGAGCCCAGAAATATTCCCTTTTCGGCACAGTGTGATCGTTTGATGTTGAGAAGGTTAAACCTGACTCAGGCCTATTTATAGGAGAAGCCTAATGCAAGGTGTGGGTACGCTAATACTGTTAAGCTTGCTAGAGCTTCAAGTGGTCAATATTATAGTGTGTTATCTATGATTCCTTATAAGTTATTACGCAATCTTAATGCAGTTAATCTCCCATTGGCAGTGCTCTCAGTTTCCTGCTTGCGTCTTGCGCAACCTTGATGATATTCTGTCAAGTGGGCGGTGGATAAACCTTCCGACCTTAAGGTAACTTTCATGGAGAACATTCTGCTTCCTTCATTATTTCATATATATATATATATACTTAACAACAATTGAATAATTTCATATTTCCAGAACTTAATAAGAAATTTATGTTGTAAACATAAAATGATGATTTGACCACACATACAAATATATAAATTGATCATACTGCTACTTTCTTTTTTCTAAAACGGATTGATGTATTTTCTCTTAAAATAATAAATTGGAATATAATTTTTGCCTTAAATAATAATAACACAGCTTTACATGGTAATCTCTGCTCCTCCCTCTCTCTCTATATATATACATGTATATTCAATATAAAACTGCAAAACTCCGGTTTATTTTTATCATATTCTGTTAACAGTTTTATAAAAGGATCTCAACGGTTTTATGAAGACACCTTTCATTAATAAGGAGAGGTACATTCTGTAGATCACCAATTTCAACCGATTTTTTTTTTTTTTTTTTTTTGGTGCACAACTACATCGAAAAGTATTAGACACATCCGACGTTCTTTCCAATGGGCCCTAGGAGCCGAGAATTAAAAAAAATTATATAATTTGTTACAAAATTTATGTTATTTATTTTTACCTTTGCTTTTTCGGTTACTGCATATCAATCGTTTTTATTTTTGTGCATATTAAGAAAAAATATTAAGTATAGTATTAAATGAGTTATACTGTATCATAAAGTCCGTGTTACGTCATACAACTACGACGGAAATTAAAATAAAATTCAACTTATATCGAAACTCGAAACTTAAAGTGTCAAATAATTAGTTACGACAGGTACGGAGAGAGGGGCCTGCAATTAGGAACTCCTCTTCACAACTTTTATAATTTCTTTGTGGCATAACTTTGGCTATTGGCATGATAAAGTGGAAGTTAAATTCGTCATTACTACAATTGAACACAAGTGATCGCTGGTACGCCTCACAAAACTAAGCCGAAATAAATAAATCTTATACTTTTAGAAACAGCATCTAAATGGAAATATAGTGGTATTAATGAAAGCTCCAATAGTTCATATACCTGCTGTGCCGATTAGGAAAAATATAGCTAAAGATTTTATTATGTCAAAAATAGAAATTTAAAAAACACTAGACACTGCCTGTTTTGATTCAAATTTCACAAGAAATATGCCTATCTTGTATATCATGTATGTCGTTATCACACCATAAATCTTTTATAAATTGAAATCACATTTAACAAAGTAATATATCCTTAATTCAACTCACATCAATTGTATTGAAGCAGAACTGGATATTCCTCTCCAAATGTCTCTGCCACCCAAAGCATTTCATCCCATAGAAATATCCAACATCATTCAAAAATTACCTTCCCGTAAAACTCCTGGACATGACCTAATTACATCCCAGATCCTAAAACTTCTTCCTCGAAAAGCCATCCTATTCCTTACTTACATATATAATGCTGTACTCCGTTCCACATATTTTCCTGATCCTTGGAAACGATCTATTGTTAAAATGATCCACAAACCCAAAAAACCACCAGAATACCCATCCTCTTACCGTCCTATCTCTCTTTTACCCATCATGGGCAAAATCCTATAAATCTCATCTTAAAACCCCTGTACCCTATCCTAAATTCTAAACACATAATCCCAGATCACCAATTTGGTTTCTGAACTTCCCATTCCAATATACAGCAATGTCATCGTGTGGTAGACGTAGTCTCCTCTGTATTGGAGCGCGGAATGTACTGTACGGGAGTCTTTCTCGACGTTGAACAGGCGTTTGATAGAGTTTGGCACCCGGGACTGCTGTACAAACTCCGAAAATTCCTGCCACCTACATACTTCCTCATTATCCGTTCCTACCTTACTGATAGATACTTTAAAGTAAATCACAATAACGCCTATTCATCCCTTTTTTCCCAGTCTGCTGGTGTTCCTCAAGGTAGTATCCTAGGTCCTATCCTCTATACAGTTTTTACAGCTGTCATCACCACATATGCCGATGACACATGTATCCTATCAGTAAACAATGACCCAGCAATTGCATCCCAAATGCTTCAATCACACATCATAAATCTAGAAGAATGGTGTCAAAACTAGAGAATGAAAATAAACTCCAATAAATCCCACCAAATTACCTTTACCCTTCGTCGTAAACCAACGACTTCCTGTCCTACAGTTTCCTTTAACAATACTCCACTTTTCCCTGTTGAGCAAATCCGATACCTCTCAAAGGACTCCACCTTGACAAACGACTAACTTGGAATCAAAATTTTCAGAACTTTCTGTCGAGATATTTTTATTATTACACTAGCCGATATTTCGACCCAAACATGAGGATCATACCCAGAGCTAAAAATTATAAAATATAAAGTAATATCAGTAATAGAAACCGCTCGACGTTTCCGATTACTTCAGCATTTACTAGACAAACGCTCTAAACTTCCCATTAATTACAAAAGACTCATATACTTGACTATAATAAGACCTATTTGGACTTACGGAGTTGAGCTAAGGGACTCCACTAAACCATCGAATTCCTCTCGCATCTAATCCTAGCAATCCAAAATCCTTCGTAAAATCCTCAATGCTCCTTACTTTGTCACTAATAAAATTATCCATAAAGATCTTAATGTTCCTTATGTTTCAGATCTAGCCCAATCCAGATACCTATCCTTTCATAATAAACTTCAGAATCATCCCAACCCCGTCAGACTCCGAGGCGTCTGAAAAGAAGATGGCCCCGTGATCTCCTAATGTCATATTATTAGAGTGCTACCATTGGGTAGTTACTCAGCAAGTGTATTCATGTCATTATATCAGTTATGTCCAAATTTACTTGATGTATTTATGTAATACAGTTGTAAATGTCATAAAGAAATAAAAAAAAAATAAATAAAAAAAAGTAATTATTTATGTTTGATCTTTGGTTCTCAGAGATAAAGAATACCCTACCGTTTCAAAAAAATATATAGAAATTCAAATGAATTCTAAGGAGTTCAAGAATGACTGCTGCATACTCAACGATAAATAATATTAATATCTTTTTATTCAAATACCAAGTCCCTAATATTGCTCATTTCCTTTTTAATCTTTATGGTAAACCAACAATGTTTACTCCTAGAATTTACTATAATCATCTTGTTTTCTCTGTTGAAAGCGCTTAACTAGAAAATCTTAACCAACAAATGTAAAATAGAATCATTCGTTTCTTCAGCGAACAGAAGGAACTTAGGTTTGTACAGCAGACAATTATGCTAAACTGCTTTCCAATCTGATAAAGGAATAAATATCCACTTTCCTCGAATTCTCTCAACGGCCATCGAACATGCGAAAATCCAATCTATAGAGCCGGCACACAATGCCCCTATTTATAGGTTTCCTTAGAGATTGAACAGGGATCGATCTAAATCGATATAGCTACATATACCAACTATACAATTATTATAAATATATATCATTTTTGTATTATTTGATTTAAAAATACTAGAATATAGAAAATGACAACCAAATTAATAGTAATAAACAATGTTTTTACCATATTCACAGTCTTGCAGTATTCAAAGTAGTTACAGTAATTCTACGGGAACACTGTCACGACCGGATTATAAAATCTAATCTAATCACTTATTCCACTGTAAACTGGATAACAAGAGTGAGTGAGGTGGTAATAAAGTCTCCAAGGGACTTTAGAACAGACATGGAGCTCAAGTGGCATAGCTCAGGACTTAACGTTCATCACTATATCCTGAACTGCATTTGTTCTGCTACTTAGCAGCTATTAAACAGATTTTATTATAACTTGTTGGTCCTTTCAATCAGTAAATAACAAGTAAACTATATGTTTATATAGTAAACAATATATAATGAAGAGAAGAATAGTTGGGGTGGTCAGTCAAAAAAGAAGGCAAAGATAAATGATAATATTTATTTTATTATATGCCGACGTTTCGACCTGAAGTTCAGGCCTTCATCAGGGTTAAGAAAATAACCAGATAACAAGGTATGAGGAGCATAAGTAGTGATCGTAAAAAAATAAAGAAAAAAATATATAAAAAAATTAACGTAAAATGAAATTGTTAGAATAATTTTTTCTTTATGAATTTTCTTTTATTTTGTTAGAATAATTATTTCTTTAGAATAATTATTAATTTAATTTTAATAATTTAATAATAATTTTAAAATTTTAATAATTATATAATTTAATTTAGAATAATTATTAATTAATTTAATTTAATTATTTTAATAATAATAATAGTTAGAATATTTTTTTCATTATGAATTTTCTTTTATTTTGTTAGAATAATTATTTCTTTATGAATTTTTTCTTTATTTTTTTACGATCACTACTTATGTTCCTCATACCTTGTTATCTGGTTATTTTCTTAGCCCTGAAGAAGGCCTGAACTTCAGGCGAAACATCGGCATATGTAAAAATAAAGATTATCATTTATTTTTGCCTTCTTTATTGACTGACCATCCCAACTATTCTTCTCTTCATTATTCACGACAGTCAACCGTTTACCAATTATAAACAATATATAATAAGTAAACAATATGTAATAAGTAAATACAATATATTTAGAGAGAGAGGTATTAATTGTGTTTACTTCGTTGAGAAGTTGGGTTTTATTTGTTTGCATTGCTTTTTCAAATTCTTGTTTCATGAAACTTTCGCTTGTCCCTCAAGAGTATTGTGCCACAAGGTGGTAGCGCGGTGCATTTTACCTGTTTTGCTAAAGTTACCCACCCAGTCCCAAAATTACCCTATCCTATACCCCAGTCGAAAATTATCTTACGGTATACAGATTTGTAAAGGAATTAATAATATGAAATCTATTTTTTGTTCTACATTCACAAAGTAATACAATTTACAATATATATACAATTATAATTGTATATAACTTATATTTCCTTCTTTATTCACAAAGTAATAACATTTACAATATATACAATTACAATTGTGTAGAAATTACTCTTTTTAACTTTGCTCTGACTAATCATCATTTTCAACATACTCCAAAAATGATAAAATTGGTTTAAGATGACTAAAATATGCGATGAATACTTTTTAATGAAATCTATTTGGTAAGTAGCTATCAAAAACTTCGTTCATCATTTTCTCATATTTGTTTGTGCTTTTATTTGGATTATTCGACATATCCAAATCTAATTGACCATTAGATTATAAAATTCTCTATGGTATTTAAATTTTGAGATATTTTAGTCGAAATGTTCAAAACAGTAATTATTGTTTGGTTTATTGTTTCTATCTTGTTCTCTTTACGACTCTCTAACTCGACATCATATCAAAATGCAATTTTAAATGAACAAAGAGAAGAAATGCTGAAAAGTTTTCCTCACTTTCAGTATGCAGTTCCGAATTTTAGTTTTTGAGATATTTTGATCTAAATGTCAACAAAAACTCGTTATAATTTGTTTTTTGTTTCCCTTTTTGTCTCTCTAATACAGCGTCGGGTCATGATACAATTTTAATTATTAGTGTATTTCTAAGTGGGTGAAATGCTGAACATTTCTCTTACTTACAATAGGCAGGTCATATTTATAGTTTCTGTAATATATTAATCCATATGCAAAAAATATTCGACTCGAGCCAACTGTAGACGACTGAGCGTTGCATAACCAAGCTTGACGACTCTTATACAGTATCCACAAAATAAAGTGCTAAGCGCCCCTAAAGAAGTTTTCATTTAAAAAAAAAACGTAATATTCAGATCGATATTATTGAAATAATTTTTGAACTGGATTTGGAACACCAAGCCAAAAGATGATTCGTGAGAGTGGACACACCATTTTTTTTTTTTTTTCAGTTTTGGCCCTTATTGTTCACTGTAATTAATCTTTTTTGATTAGATTTTAATCTAAGTCGCATGTTGACCTTTCTATTTCCAGGCTTACCATGGTCCCTAAGACAATCGCCGCAGATCTGCTTGAGGAGGACGCCCGCTGGCCACGTACGTCGTGGGAACTGTGGGGTCATCGGACCTTGGAGCCCGTTACCCTTCGCCACTTCCGAAACTGCCTCGAACAACGACCTCACCAGCTAGCCTTTGGTCCTTGTCTTTCGTGGCTTGTCATCAGTGGTTTTGGATTGGTTTCGACGTGATGAATACTAATTTTAATTCTTAAAAAGTGATAAAATTGTATTACAAATTTTTGCAACAACTACTCGTATAAATAAATGATTGTAAAAAAGTCCATATCAAAAGGAAAAGAATATTTGCAGCTTAGTAGCAATGAAGTAGAGACTGGACTGCAAAAACGGGGGGAGAAACATGTCTAGTTGGCAAAATGTTACATTTATTATGGAAAAACATATATTTTCTTCAATTACACAACTTGAGTAAAAGGAAAATCGTTCCTGGAAGTAGGGAAAATTCAAACGCCGTGGCACCAGTTCTGATGTACCGCTGCAAGACCCGTTCACTAACCAGCGCACTAAAAAGAAGAATTGAAAGATTTGAGAGAAAAATCCTTGTATTTGGAGTGATTTGGAGAAGTACTGGATGGAGGCATGGAATTAAGATGGCCGATCATGTAACTTGGAGTAATATTCACCAGGACAAAGAATGGCTTAATAGTAGGTAAGATAACATGTGAAAGGCTAAACAATAATAATAATAATAATAAGGCTTAGCGAACCCGAAGGTTCGATGCCGACACCACCAATCGCTTGTTACACACCTCCCTCCACCGTTCGCCGTCCAAACCCAGTCCCTTCAGATCAGCTTTAATGCAATCTTCCCACCTTCGCTTCGGTCTACCCCTCCGACGCTTACCATTCGGCACAGCAAATATTAACCTTTTAGGAATTCTCTCGTTACTAAGCCCAACAACTTTACAAGCCCATTTGATTCGCCGCGATGAAATTACCTCAATTATATTACCCGGATATAGCTCACGCAATTCGGCGTTGTGTAACCGTCTGAACTCTCCGGTTAACTCATCCTTCTTCGGTCCGAATATTCTACGCAATACTTTATTTTCAAAAACCTTAAGACGCTGCTCATCCCTTAATGTAAGCGGCCAAGTTTCGCATCCATAAAGAACTGTAGGCAAGATAATTGTTTTATAGATTCTAATTTTTAAGTTTCGGGACAAGAGGCGCGAACTGAGTAGTTTTGTCACAGAAAAATAACAAGCATTCCCCGCCTTCAATCTAACTTTAATCTCTTCTTCAATTTCGTTTTTTTTAGTTATCGTAGAACCTAGATACCTAAATTTATCTACCTGTTCAAACATATTACAATCTATATCGATATCACCAGTAGTATCGCCATTTTTGCAGCTAACCATATATTTTGTTTTATCCACGTTTATTTCGAGTCCTAGTTCTTTACCGGCTTTCATTAACGTTGTCGTATTTAGTTTTATAGTTTCAACGTCTTCGCTTAACAGTACCAGATCATCAGCATAGCCTAGCACGGATGTTGTCCCGCCCAGATCCAACCCTTTCTCGGTACGCATTACCTCCCTAATGGCATGTTCTAATGCCAAATTGAACAGGACAGGCGAAAGAGAATCCCCCTGTTTTAATCCCGAACGAACCTCAAATTTTTCGGACAAATTATTACCGATTCTGACTTTATTGAGTGTCTCCGTCAAGCACATCCTGACTAGATTTACTAGTTTTTTTGGAATTCCCTGCTCGATTAGAATATTATACAGTTTCTGGCGGTCAATAGAATCGTAAGCCTTTTTAAAATCTATATACAGCTGGTGAACAATACCGTTATACTCCAATTTTTTCTCTAATATTTGCCGTAAAGAAAATATTTGATCAATAGTCGAACGATTCCGTCTAAATCCGCATTGGTAGTCTCCGATAATTTCCTCGGCGTATTCCGTGATTCGACTGGTTAAGATTACAGTGAATATTTTATAACATACCGGAAGGAGTGAAATTCCTCGATAGTTATTACAATCCGTCCTCGGACCCTTTTTGTGAATCGGAATAAGAATAGATTCTTTCCATTCTTCAGGTAATTTCTCGTTCACCCAGATCTTTTCAACCAACCGATGTATTTTAGAAACTCCAGCTTCCCCGCATGCCTTAATTAGTTCAGTAGGAATATTATCGATTCCCGCTGCTTTATATGATTTTAATTTTCCGATAGCTACTTCAACTTCCTCTTTACTTGGTCCTTCTATTAACGGTTCAGCACTCTGGTACTCAGAAGGAGGACACCGATCATAATTTCCCGTATTTAAAATATTGTCAAAGTGGTCCTTAAACTTATTCAATATGTCAACCGGATCGGTCAGAATATTGTTATTATCATCCCTAATTCCAGACGTTACGGGCCCTACATATTTACGTGATCTGTTTATACCTTTGTACATGTCTCTTACGTTATTTTGGATTCTATTAGTTTCTATTTCAATTATTTTATTTTTAAGATACTCCCTTTTTTTATTTTTGAGCAATTTTGTCGTTTCGTTCTTTGAGATTCGGAAGTATTCCAGATTGTCTTCGCTAGGATTATTTAGAGCTTTTAATTTAGCGGCTTTCCTTTTTTCGCACATGTTTAAGCAATCTTCATCAAACCACGGTTTGTTATTCTTATTTTCCTTTTTTCCTAGACACGAGTTACCGACCGCTTTAATATTATCCCTGATCTCTACCCATAACTTGTCAATATCCTCGTGGTCCTCGTCAGGAAGCTCTAAAGCTTCAAACCTATTCTTAACATCTAGCTCGAATTGGTTTCTAATTGATGGATTTTTTAATTTTTCCAAATTAAAATTCTCAAAATCGAAACGGTTTTCTTTTCTCTTTTTTATATTAAGTTTTTGTCGAAGTTTCGCGATTACTAATTCATGATCCGACCCACATTCTGCTCCGCGATAAGACCGTACATTGATTATACTGCTTTGCCAGCTGTGTTGTATCAAGACATGATCGATTTGATTTCGTGTTTGCGAATCCGGCGATGTCCAAGTATATTTATGAATATCCTTACGTTTGAACGTCGTACTTTTAATTACCAGGTTTTTCGAGATGGCAAAGTTTATCAGACGGATCCCATTATCATTACTATATTCGTGCAAACTTTCTTTACCAATCGTCTGAATATAAACTTCTTCCCTTCCTACCTTTGCGTTCGCGTCACCTACAATTATTTTCATGTAGTTTCGCGGTAGTTTATCATAAACCCATTCGAGTTTATCGTAAAATTCACTTTTGACTTCATCGTCACTGTCTTCGGTCGGACAATGTATGTTTATTAATGCGATTTTAAACCAACGTCCCTGAAATGTAGCTACCGAAATTCTATCACTAAAGAATTGTACGTCCCACAAAGCGGATAGTAATCTACTCCTAATTAGAAACCCGGTACCTAAACAATGATTCCCGCTTCCTCCGAAAGGCTAAACAATAAGATGGATAAATCGAATCAAGATGAAATGGAACTACATGAAGATAACTGAAAAGAAATAGTTTAGTATAGGCAGAGATGTAGAACGTTGAGGCATCAAAAGATCTACTTGGTATATAAGGCCAACGAAAAAAAGAATCTTTTAAAATATCTTTATCGAAATCTTTAAAAGATTTGTATATAAAAAGAATAAAAAAGGGGGGAAAAGTATGTGTCCCAAGCTGGGAGAAATACTTGTTACAATCCTAGGAACTATAATTCATTTTTTCCATTTTAATAGATTTATCATCGATTTTTGAAATAAATTTCAAGATAAAGAGAAGTTGGATGTGGGTTTAGTTAAAAAAAATAACTTTAAGGTAAGGGTAAAATCGCAGTATGTTTTCAAGTACTCGCAGTATTTGAATAAATTCAGTGCTCAATACACGCCCTGATGATGACCCACATGTTTTGATTGAAGCGTTCGCATTATTCATAATGGCGGGTGTCACACTCTCGCTCCGTTTTTTCTTTTAATTACCGCGATTACGATATTTTTAAAACTAAAAGAAACGCATGATACTTTTTTAACAGTGTATTACAATTTTTGAGAGGAAAAAAAAAATTGGTCCACGGAGAAAGTTACACTCGAATGGCTTGGTTGTTAAAGTGTTAATGATACTAATGAAATAATGAATATTAATTGAAATGTGCATGAATGAGAAGGGTGCATATACTATCTGCAATATTGCAGGAGTAGATAACGCTTGATAAGACTGTTGGAGGACGCAGCTATTGCAGGATGGCGACACGTCACCAGGAAGTTTTGCATCTTCATCAACTATTAGCGCTATTTCCGCTTGTGTAATTCTCTTCTCCAGCCTGATCCAGGCTCATGGTCGAGTTTTTGTTTCAAAGATTTTTTCCTCATTATTTTATTTAATAATGGTTGTTAGGGTCCGGGGTACTTCAAAATCGAAGTACAAATCTTTCTCTGGTGAGTTTAATCAAAGGTGGGGAAAATTAGAGTAAAATTTAAATGTTGGGAAAGAGAGAAAAAAAGAGTGAATAAAATGAGACCTGTAAAACATAAAAAATGTGCATGCACAAGAAAATCATAAAAATAAAAATATTTCAATAAATAAAAAATGGAAAATAAAAATCCCCTTTTGAACGTTTACAATTTATTGGATAAAAAAAAGATCTAATTAAGTACAAAAGTTAAAATAAATATTGGTGTAAAGTTGCGAGAAAAATAAAACATAAATATAATATGCAGAGAAAATAAAACCAAATTAACATTAGGGAAAACATATATAAATCAACCAAACTTCTAAAATTATAAACAAAATCAAGATAAAGAAAAATAACTGTCCAAAATAACAAAACTAATTTATCGAGAGAACCGAAAACTAACTAAATGTTCAAATGTCTTGGTGAGAATAAAAAACAAAAATGCGAGCCAGGTTGGAGGTTCTGCTTCCAGTCCGGTGGTTACCTTCTACGATGTTTCACAGTTGATGGTGAGAAAATATCGAATCGATATCCTATCGATCTCGATCGACGACTGCCGATGCGCCGAACAGCTGATTAAAAAAAAATGGCGCTAGGCTGGTGAGTCGAGGTGAACCTGGAGCAGAAGGTGGGGGTAGCCGTCCACTACGTGGATCCGGTGTCATCAAAGGCTCCAGACTGCCGTCCAGCAGTTTTATCGCAGTATTTGTGTCTTAATCCCTAAGACAGGGTATTAATGCCGGGCTGGA